TCTAGGCTAAGAAAGCGAAAGCGAGATGCGATCCTAATTCACAACATAAATAGTGAACTGAACGAAAAAATCATAGAAGCAAAATATAGGTATTTTAACGTAACTTTGACTGATTTCCTCCAAGCTTCACCTGAGAAGTTTTGGCGCTTCTTGTCGCCGACGAGGCATAATGTGAATGAAGTTACTGTTAACGGCCAGAACGTTGATGACCCTCTTTCAATGGCAAGTGCCTTCAATGAGTATTTCAAGTCTGTTTTTCGCGTAGATGATGGGCTAGGACATGCTTTCGAGCCGGCAGCCGACTACACTCAAAACAGAAATTCCTTACCTAATATCGTTATATCGGAAGAGGGCATCTTAAATACCCTTCTGAATATCAATGTTAAAAAGGCACTAGGCCCGGACTGTATTCCTAATGAATTTTTGAAAAGATACGCCGAGTGCTGTGCTAAATACTTGGTTGTCATATTCCGATGTTCATTGAGTACCGCCACTGTCCCTCGGGGGTGGAAACTTGCCAAAGTAATACCGGTACCTAAATTGGGTGACTCTAAAATTATTTCCAATTATCGACCTGTTTCTCTTTTGAGCACGTGTAGTAAAATTCTAGAACATGTGGTGTTCAAGCACGTATCGTCCTGCCTCGAGTCTAATCATTTTTTTTACCAGCATTCAGCATGGATTTCGCAAGAAAGTGTCTAGAATTACGCAACTAGTTGAAGTTGTTCACGAGTTCGCCTCAGTAATTAACAAACGGGGTCAGATAGACGTAATTTATTTTGACATTTCGAAAGCTTTTGATCGCGTATCCCACATAAGGCTGTTAAACAAGCTAAGCACAATTTTAAACAAAAAATCAAATATTAAACTGGATCCAAGATTACCTGTCTCAACGGCGATAATATGTGCAGTTGAACACCGCACGCTCTTCATTTGTTCATGTCTCTTCGGGTGTCCCACAGCGATCAGTGCTAAGGCCTTTATTATTTTCAATATTCATTAATGATATTCAGACCGGAGTCCCTGCCAAGTTGCGACTGTTTGCAGACGATTGTATTGTTTTTCATGAAATTAAGAGTTCCACTGACTATGAAATACTACGTTCTTCTTTAGAAAAAAATCATAGGTGGTGCAAAGATTGGCAAATGTCACTTAATCTTACTTAAATTGTGTGCATGTCTGTCACTCGAAGAAAGAATCCTATTTACTCTGACTATGCAGTCGGCAGTCGTAATCTACCTAGAGTGTCCTCTTATAAGTACCTCGGTGTCACTATAACGCATGACTTGAGTTGGAATTTGCCTATTGGCCAAATGATCGCAAGGGCGATAAATAAACTTGAATTTTTGCGCAGGAATTTTAAACATGGGTCTAGGGATACTAAGTTGTTGTTATATAAAACGTTTATTAGGCCAATTCTAGAATACCCTAGCAGTGTCTGGGACCCGCACACGACTTGTAACATAGTTAATTTAGAAGGGGTTCAGAGACTTGCAGTGCGATTGGTTTTTAGTATGTATACTTCTTATGTGTCCCCCAGAAACTTGTGTGCTAGAACAGGACTCCAAACGTTACAGGAAAGAAGGAAACAAAATCGTCTGAAATTGCTTTATTTAATTGTTAGCAATGAGCTAGGAATAGACAAGAATCAGTACATTGAATTCTTTTTGCCCTAGAGTATCCAGATATTCCCATCAGAAGACTTAAACCATATAATTATAAAAATATTTCATTTACATATTCCTTCTTTCCTAGAACAGTAATTGACTGGAACAACCTGCCACCCGATGTCGTTAATGCAGCCACCCATTCTGATTTTTGCAACATTTTGTGTAAATGAGTGCACCATGAAATATTTGTATCTATGTGTTTTCCACTCCTGCTAAGACCTCGAAAGAGGTTACCAGTATGAATAAACAAACAAACAAAACACTCAGGTTGTTACAACTAACCCCTTCATTCCTGGACAGACAGTGTTGTTCAAGAACCACAGTCCAGGAGAAAAGTGGCTTCCCGGCATGGTAGAAGCAGCAAGTCGTCATCGTGTGGTGCAAATCAGTTCGCCAGAGGGTCACCGATGCCGCCACGCAGACCAAGTTCGTCCCCGCGACACCAACTCAGAAGACCGGACGCGGACATTCCAGGTGGACGTGACAACAGATGCTGCTGCTGCGTTCCCGACACCCCAGCCACCGCGACCGGTGGTCACCTCTGAGCAAGAAAGGGGAGATTCACTCAGACCTGCGAGAAGATCACGTCGAGATCGGCGTCTACCTGCCCGTCTTTTTTATAAGGGAAAAGGAGTGTTGGAGGTGACGATGCGGCAACAGAGTAATTGCTGATAGCGACGTGATGGTAGGAGCATTGTCAGCACCGCTCGCACGTGTCGGTGTTTCTTTCTATTTTTGTTTTCTTCTTCTTTCATTCAAGCCTTCTTTTCTGGAAATAAACCTTCCGTTGCCATCAAGCAGCTACACGGGCCAGTGGTGTCTACTTTATAGCACCAATTTCCTGGAATTCTGGCAGGAAAATAATTATAATTAGGGTTCCGTGCTTTCGGATAAATCCAAAAACTTTGAAAACACCCTCCGGTAAAATTTTGGCTAATTCGGATTTATCCGATAAACTCCGAATGTTTATGTGCCAATGCCATCCCCTCCCACTCCCCCACCACAAAAAAAAAACAATTTTTTTTTTACAATTTGCCCAGAGTCAAAGGTCCTGGGAAAATGCCACCATAATTACCTTTCAAATCTCAGACCGTTTTCAAAAGGAGTCTTACCGTTGATTGATTCAGGGCAAGAGGTAATTGCACATTCGGGTCACGGCAAAAGCCACTCTTTTGGTTTTCAGTTTGGGCCATGCGATTTGTGATTCAGAGAAAGGAGAGGGTATGTTTTTCTAACAGTGAACGCTATGGACCATAGAGATTGTATACAATATGGAAGAGGTGCAGTTGAAACTTCTCTATTACATCCTTCACCACTTCACCTCGCGCGGCCGCGGGCTAGATTGATGGAATAGGATGGGATGACAACGAGCTTCCTAGCGACTACCTCCGGTAATTTAATGATTTTAAGGTATCGACGTTTATAGAAGCAACACTCGTGTGCTACTCTTGTCGTTGGACAAGTTAGTAATGTAAATGGCAATGGAACCAACGCCAAATTCAACTGAAGTAATTTTAATTATAACAAGCGCGTTTTATTTTTGCAAATCTGGCATACGTTTACATCCGGTTATTATTTATTTATTAATTTTTAATAGGAAACACAACAAAATTAAACTCCGAATTTCGGAGAATCGGGAGTCAGACGAATATAAATTCAGATAAACTCCGAATCTTCGGCAAAAAATAAACTAAACAAAAAAAACAAAACACCCTTCAATATTGACGAAAAATAAACTCCGAAAACACGGAACCCTAATGATAATGCAACACCTGAGACTCTGGTGCTGAAGAATCAAGAAACTTAAAACTCGACTTTTAATTTTCTTAAGTATTCGGCACTACAGTTTGGGGTGTTAGAATATGACTGGTGACAACATACCCGTCGATAGATCGGTGTTCATACGTTCTATTTTCTTTTGCATTCATTTGAACGTTGGCGAGGATGGTGGTTTTTATCTAATTTCAGTAGCAAAAGTGGAGTGTCGCGGAAGACACGGGTTAGAGCGTGCACCTTTAGAAACCATTTTTTTTAATGTGAGCCATTGTGCAAACACAATTTTAGAGTGCTAGACACTAACGCCTATATCTTTGACAGTATTGCCAGCAACTTGTAAAACTGATAATAGAACCGATAGTAAACCCTAGGTTCAACTTCAGCGACTAAGAATATAAATTTCCATTACGATACCACCTTAAAATTACTATCTAGGATCCACCGAGAAAATTATATGAACTTTGGTATCATCGGAGCCAAATCCGGTTAGTTTGACGATGGCCTTTGTTAAGTAAAATGGGCAACAAATGGTTACTTACCTTTCAGAAACCCTCTGGTGATAGACAATTCTGAATAGAAACATTCCGAATTTGTCTTTGCCCTGGACGGTTGCAGGCAAGCATTCACTTATCTTGAGTAAACCCAGGATTTTCTTATCTTTTCTATTTTAAAGATATCCAGTCTTAATGTCTTAAAAAAATCTCAGTTTATGACCGCAATGAAACGGCGGAAAAGAAAAGTTAGGTACTGCTTGCTGCCCGTTGAAAACAAAGAGGGATTTCAGGCCATGCCAGGTGCATCTATGCCTTTTGCCTTCGGCCCTCTCTGCACTATCATAGTGTAAACGCACGCACAAAAAAAAAAACACATTGCAGGAATAAGAGAGTAAACGATGCCGGTTCGGGTTCACTATTTTGTGTTGGTTAATCAGGGTCAAACCATGACTCCAACTTTCGTTGCGCCCCAAGAAAAAGAAAAAGGTTTCTGTATTGAATGTATGCTGTGTGAAGTAGTTTATATCTGACAATATTTGGCTGTCTGAGCTAAAACCAAAACGTTTCGTGCTTGAAACGTCTACGTTTTGATAAATTAACAAATGGCTGGCCTCATATTCCCATGCAAGTTACTTTATTTGCCACACGAAGGTAGAAATAGCTAACACTCTGAGAAGTGACAATAGTTTTCTACTGCGAGCCTTGAGGTGAAATATTAATTAGATTATTTTGACTGCAATATGAATGCCTGATTACACTTAAGCCTGGACAATGAAGACAAAATAAACTTACCTACAACTGTGAAAAGAAAATTGCACGTTTTCAAATTTATTGTTTTAATATTACTACTCGAGGAACGCTTTCTCGCTGAGGTCATGCGAGAAGCAACATGGAGGAAAATACTAAAGTATAATTAGTTTAGCACATGCCCAAAAAACATGCGCTTTTAAGATTGGAAATCGAAACATTAAGAAGAGTTTGAAAAACGAATGTAAGGCTGGATGTGCTAACGGCGGTTATAGCGCTTCCTTTTATCTAAAAGTAACGACGAGGAAATTCACACCTGATACAACGATGATACCAAATCACATTGGCATGACGTTTAATATTTAATGTTCACCTGCGTATATTCAAAACATTTCAGTAACATTTCTCGCTCGCTACGGTGTCACTATGTGCGGGAAAGGACACTAAGTTCATGGCCTACGGAGCATGGCCAAGGAGGGGAGAGCGATTGTTCAGGTACAGTCTGTCGAAGAAAAAACCGTCAGCACATTAAATAAAAGCGTGTTCACTCCACTTTCATTTCTGAGGAATTAAATGTAAGCACGCACTTGTATTTAATCTGAGCTCTTTAACCTTGTACTCCGTAAGTTTCATGTTTGAAGCTTGTGTTTTGACAGTTGATGATATTGATATTGGCAGCGGAAAATCTCTCTCTAGTTTTCGCACCCTTGGCCAATATCTTCTAAAAAAAACAGATATGACAACTGCTTCTCTTCGCAAAAAAAATCTTAACGTGAATAGGCGCAAGTTTCTTTCAAATCACAACTTGTGAATCAATTGTTGTCGGTGGATAATTTTTGAAAAATTGCAAGCAAAGACGAAAAAAATTGTAACTGCAGACATCATAAGGCCAGGAATTCTTCCAGTCATCGCCGTTGAGCACCTAAATAGTGAAGGACAGTAACCTCTTCCTCGTTCTTCACGCTCAACTTACAAACCCGACTTCCCTAAGAACAAAGAACAATGTCGTGTGCGAAATGTGAAATCCTTTCCTTCACAGAGTTCAAGGATTTGAGTCCAGAGCGACGTCGCAGCACGCCACACAGTTCTGTTCCCAGCTCACCTGTCTATGTCCTCAACGTCAACCACAGTCGCCTGTTTCTGCTTGAGACAGCCATTACTAACCACCGAGTACTTGAGGCGCACCACAGGATGAGACGTCTGCTGCACCATACGGAGCTGTTGGGGCGGCTGGTGACCCGAACGAGTCCTCCTCGGGCAGTTTGTGAGCAGCACAGAGTTCTCGGCGCCCCTAGAGGCGACACTGCTGTTGAACTGCTTCGAGCCCCTCGATGGTCGTCGGCGGAGGTGGAACACACCGTAGATGAGGGGGTTGATCATGGCGGTCGAGCTGCCAAAGAAGAAGATGCCTGCCTGCAGCTCTTCGGTGAGCTGGTCGTCCGGGTCCAGGAAGATGAAGATGATCATCATGCAGTAGTAGGGCGTCCAGCAAACGATGAACGCGAGCACAATCACCACGGTGATCATGAGGGACTTCATCTTGGCCTTGTGGAGCAGCTTCCGCCGCGCGTCGTCCATGGCGGAATGGGTTGGAGCGGCCAGGGTCTCAGCCTTGGCGTGCCGCCGAGCTTGCGGCTCGTGGTTCTCCTGCGTGTGTTTGCCGGACCCGCTTGCTCCGTCCTTCGAGGGAACAAAGAAGCTCCGCTGAACTGCGAGCAAAAGCAATAAAAAAAAAAAAGATTTGCGTTATCGCCTGAAGTGTAATGCGAATTACAGTCACCAAACAGAACTTTAGAATAAAAGGAAGTATAGTGGTTTGGTAGGCAAGGAATGCGCTATACATAGGCGTTTGTGTTCTAAGGATATAGTTTTTTGAAAAATTAGAAAGGTGTCGTTCGGTGATGACCAAAATGTTAGAAAGTTTAATTTCCGTTCACTTCGATTGTGCTCGATCACAACCCCTCCAAGAGCACCCGAGCCGAGCAAGATGGTGGCGCCCTCAAGCTGGACTTCTTTGGTGCAGTATTGCTAACCGAGACAAGGTCTACTGATGAAACAAATGTATTTCGTCTCCCATCATATAATACCTTTTATTTAAATCGCCCTACAAATGGCGCCGGTAAAATATGCATGTTAGTAGGAAAAAAAGAGCTGTGAAATATTGTTAGACTTTACTTTAAGTAGGAGTGATTGTGAGCTTTTGTTAATAAAATACTAAAACAAGGTAATTGCCGTTTGCTACATCACTCCCTGTGGCATTGTAAAAACGTTCTTGAATTGCTTAGAAGCGAGTTTTGACTTTATCATAAAAAATCGTTTCAATTTCATCTTACGTGGGGACATGAATGCTGATATGATAAAAAGTGATTCGACGAGGTCTAATATGGATATCTTACTAATGTTGCACAATCTGCGGAATTTTATTATGCTACCCAGATCGGTAACTGAGCAGTCTTCATCTTTGATTGATTTGTTTTGAACAAATATAAGCTCGGACCGAATAAAAGAAGGGGGGATTGCCTGTGACCTAAGTTACCATCTACCAATATTTATCTGTACGAAGGGGCACGTAAAAAATGAAAGATTGCAGCCTTCACGCCCAATACGGAAAGTAACAAAAACATATCCGACCATCTTTCGTGATAAAATTGCGCAAGCAACTTGGGCAATTTCACTGGATACTAATGACGCTAATGGTGCCTATGATGAATTAATTAGCATTTTAAAAGCTATATATTCAGCAAGTGTTCTATGTGAATTGTATTAGAAAAAAGCAGAAAAATTTGTAAAAACTCCAAGCTTCTCGCAAATATAAATAAAAACCAAGCTCTACTGCTAATTCATTAAAACTAAAGACCAAGAAATATTATCTGAGTTTAAAACTCGACGTAATCATCTCGATAAAGAATGAAAAAAAAAACAAGACGTGATTACTTTTCAAATCAATTTATTTCTTCGGCAGGGTGTTCTGAGCTGATGTGAAAAAGATTAAATACCACCTTAAAGCATAATGTCTCCCCCGACAAAGTTCAAGAGATAAACACAAATAATGATGAATTATTTGGTAAACACCTTGCAGAAGCTTTCAACAAACATTTTGTGAATATTGTCAATAAAACCGTAACGAACAGTAGCCTTGCGAACATTCTGTCTAACCCAAATTTTATTTATCTTAACCCTGTAAATGAAAAAAGTTATTAGTACGATTTTAAATTTAAGCATGGTTAAAGACGCTGATGGATTTCAAACAAAATCAATTAAGGACGCTACCGACCTTCTTGGACCATGCATGACGCACATATTTAGCCTTTGCCCTAGTCAAGCTGTTTTTCCTCGAAGAAAGCAGGTTGCCCATATAAATGTGTTGTACAAGAAAGGTGATAGAAATGACACGGGAAACTAGCGTCCCGTGTCAATACTTCATTTTTTTTAAAGCACTGGAAATAATTGTTTTACACCGGTTTATGGACTTTGAGCAGAAAAACAACCTCCTAATTAATCCCAATCTGATTTCCGTAAAGGACTCGGTACCGAGTCCGCTTTGCTAGCGCAGAAAAACTAATCTTGACTGCCCTTGAGGAAGGAAAATTGGTTCCGGGGTTGGGCAGAAATACTCAAAAATGTTTTTGGAAATACAAATACTGGGACACATTAAAATAGTAGCTAAACTACTGATACTGAAGTATATCTGTAAAAAATGTATCGGCGATACGTATCGGAAATACATTTTAAATAGAGGAAAAAGTCTTTGGAAATACAAATACGGGAATACATTTTAGGGAGGGCAGAAATACAAATACAGAAATACTGATACAGCAATACATTTTACAAATTTGTTTGAGACGCCAACTGAGATGAAGCTTGAAGTTTGAAGTGGAAGTTTTTGATCCCAAAATTACTTTCCCGTACGCTTGGCACTTTGCATTGAAGGGAGTGGTTTCGGACGACGAAAAGTCTTCAATGGGCTCAAAAGAACGTTCTATCAAGGACTGACCGCGTTCCCTTCCCTGACATCCTGTCTTTCTGACGCGGCATGCGAAAAGGCTTCGACCTCTAAATAAATTCTATGTCACCCCATTTCTAGGGTTGTTCGTTTCCGGGTAAAACCCGATTTTAGCCGGTTTTTCACCCCGAAGATGTTTCAGGAGAATCGGGTTAAACCCTATTTCTCCCGAATTCCAAAACCACATAACCAACCTATTTATTTTTACGCCGCACGGAGTTTGCGGTGCACATGCGCAATAGCTACCCTACCTCGGGTAACAGTGGCCTATAGTTCATTTCGCAAGCTGCGTGGAGCACTCTGGACGCTAGACGACTCTCAACCAACCGCCTAACGAGCGCGCCTAACTCGAAGTGACATTCTACGGAAGCCGGCTGAGAAAAAGCGGGACCTCGGAGGGACATTTCCGTCCACCCGCTGTGCAGGTGGAACCGCCTCGGCACGCCACATAGTTTCGGCCCTGCTGCACGCAGCTTGAAAAATGCACTATCAATCCCCCTTCGACCAGTGAGGTGTCGACGACCCGCCTGGTCTCTTGGGTAGCATTGCTATCTCGCTGGCGTCCAACCTTTCTCACGAATAACGTCCGAGCCAGTCAGTCGCGCAAACAGATCGGGAAAACTTAACAGGTTTATTCCATAGCGAAATATCCGATCGAAGACAACGGTCAGGGTTTTTGTTGACACCTGAGGGAAAGGAGGATTCCGTGGGCAGTGCTTCCCTTGAAGCGACCGGCGGCAATCGGAGCTGGAAAACCTTGATGTCTTCCCGATTAGCAGCTTGAAACAGACCCCTAATTTTACCGCGTTACCGTTAAAGAGCTCGTAATACGCTCCTATATAAAAACATCGAATGTATTATTGAGTAGATTTGTCAATTTAACCCCCTCCGCCCCCCCCCCCCCCCCAAACAAAAAAAAAATTCGGAATGTTTTCGCAAAAATCCGATTTCTCCCACGTTTATGGGGTTGAAAAATAGCACCCGATTTTTACCTCCTAATTTCAAAAAAATATAAAACGCGAAAACGAACAACCCTACCTATATCCCACCAAACGACACCACGCCCCTGTCCAATAAACACACCCCTGTCAACATTGATCACATGACGTCACGGGGGGAACGAACTGGTATTCTTTATCTGAAGGTGTGGCCTTGAACACGAAACCTTACCACGCTGCTGTACGAAAGGACAATACGTACTTTCGTTATAGGTTACCTCGTTGAAAATCGCGCAGGCAGTGCCATTTGGAATTTTTGAGAATAGTGGACCACCTGAAGCATCCTGGAACCCATGTCTTATCTTCTCTTGCGGTTGGAAAAACGACACGGTGGCACCCCTGTTGTGAAGGTCCTTCCTGCCGACCCTCCGCCACCGACCCTTGGATTGCAGTCCTCAAGTTTCGCCTAGCATCATCCAAACAGAGACCTCGTGGGATGCGACCTGATATTGCCGGTACAGGTGCGAGCGCTTCGAGAAACAGCGTGCTTGAGACGAGTCACAAGTGTACGAAGTCTAAGTCGGCACAGCGAGGTCACGACTGGCCTCCTTCCTGGGTTTCGTATCTCCAGAGCAGCGGGTCACATTCACGTCGGCTGATGGCGTACCCTTGAGCCGTGCAATATTACGGGCGCAGCCGCCGACGGATTCGAATAAGTGTTGAACTTCACTGCGGGAGTCATCCTACTATTTCAAGTCAACCACCGCCAGGCTTGTGCTGCAACCGACTGTGACTCAACTTTGCCGGCGGGTGTACTGTGTACGCTAAGGCAAGAGAGACGGTTAGCAGCGAGCATTGGATGCCAGCAAACACTGGTTCAAGAAATACGTACATAAGGACCTGCGGCAGAAGATGCTCTGACTCCACTCCTGGCACGCCACCTGATTTGAGTCCTTCACTACGCAACACTTCTCAGAAGAGAGAAGAGGACGCATGAAAAATAGTTTGGAGAATCGGAAGGAACCTTGGTCAGCATAGTAACAAAGCCGCAGCATCTCCTTGACCCTGGTGCCCTCAGAAGTAAAAAAAAAAAAAGAAAGCGTGCGGACTTGTATTTTTTTTTTTCGGGGTGGAAAAGGGGGGGGGGGGGGGGAGTATATGCAACGAAATACATTTCATCCTGATTGTATCGCGACACAAAGAACCACTCCAAATTTATTTCGATACAGGAATGCAGACACGGGTGAAAAAAAAATTATCGCGATACAGAAATACAGATACGAAATGCATTTCTGAAATACTATCGCGATACATTTGTATCGCGATACTGTTTAGCTCTGGTTGGTTCTTGGTATCTTTGTAGGATCAACTAAAGGATTTGGTAATGTGCAATCAAATTGGTAATCAATGATACCCTGCTTGCTCAGAAAATTCAACGTTATGGCTTTCGTGGGAAGGCTGCATCCTTAATCACGTCTTGTCTGCAGCATCGTATACAAACAGTCCCTATCGACGATCGTTTCTCCGATCCACTTCCTGTTTCTTGCGGTATACCACAGGGGAGTATTCTGGGGCCCTTTCTTTTCAATATGTACATAAATTACATCGTCTGTGTTGGATCAGACGTTAATATGATTATTTTATGCAAACAATACCAGTATATTTATAACCGGAAAGCTATCTAATGAAATATTCGATAAAGCAAATTGAACGTTACAAAAACTAGACGAATTGACGTACCAAAGTAGCTTAAAAATAAATATAAACA